CAACTGGGCACCAGCCTGTTGGGAGCTGGCTCCAGGAAGGATTGGGCAGGACTCTGTTTCGTGGCCAGGCTCTGGCCCTGCAGGCTGCCACCTGGCTTCTCCGGGGTCTGCCTCCACTGTCTCTCTGGCCCTGCAGGCTGCCACCTGGCTTCTCCGGGGTCTGCCTCCACTGTCTCTCTGGCCTGCAGGAGCTGGGAGTCTCCTTCGGGGAGTGCAGCGCTATCCTGGGACACAACATCCTGGAGCCTGTGGTGAACCTGGCCCGGTGAGTGTCGCTCAGCCGTCTCTACCCAGAATCCTCTGGGGCAGCCTTCAGCCCAGACTCATGGGAAGGCAGGCCCATTTGAGGACATGGGTCAGGACCTACGTGGTTAGCTAGCAAGGCTCACCAGTCTGGACGCACAGAGTGAGCACCGCACTGAGAGTCTCCCGACTCCATTTTTAGCTGCGAGTCCTCTGCCCTCTCTGAGCCTGTTTCTGATCTGCAAAGTGGAGTTGGGAGAGGAAGTGCCAATGTCCTGTGCTAACTTTTTTAGAGCAGTGGTTCTCAACCTTCCTCATGCCTCGACCCTTTAGTACAGTTCTTCGCGTGGGGGTGACCGCCCAACCATAAAATCATTTTTGTTGCTACTTCATTACTGTCATTTTGCTACTGTTATGAATCCGGCGACCACTGTAAAAGGGTCGTTAAACCCCCAAAGGGGTCGCGGTCTCCACCCACAGGTTGAGAACCGCTGCTCTAGAGGGACCATCCCGGAAGCTGAGGGTGAGTTAGCCCAGGGGAGCACCCCAGCTATGAGAGATCGGGGGTGCCCTACTGTGCCCCTTGCCCCATGCAGGCTGTGCCTGTGCCCCTGGAGTGATTGGAGGATGTGCAGCACCTTGCTGGACAGGGCGTGTGGGGACAGCACTGGAGGCTGGATGCGGGCACCTGGTCTCTACTTTCATTCTGGGCGGTCCTCTGCGCTTTCAGCTCCCCGAGGGCTTTCCCACCTGTGGGTGCTCTTCTCGGCCAGGGCAGGCTCAGAGGATTTGAGAGACCTGGATGGGCTGGGGGGGGTTCCCCTACCGAGGCTCCTGGGGGGTGCTAGCTCTGGACAGTGCCCAGTGGGGGCCCTGGTCTCTGTTACCTTCAGCCCCTGCCTGGACATGCTGCTCAGATCTGATCCCCTCATCCTCCTTCCACACTGCCGGGCTGTTGGCCTCAAGGCCTGGCGGGTCCTCTCTTCACCAGGTGAGGGAGGGACCCAGGGGCAGCATGAGGACATGTCTCCACCATCCCCTCCTGCACCCTCTGTAAGTCAGCAGTGCCAGGCTCAGGGTGCCCCGAGCCCCTCCTCTCTGTCAGTTTGTGTTGCTAGGAGACACAGGGCTCCGGGGAGAGATGGGGCCGGGGCTTCCAGGTGAGAGGGGCACATGTCTGCCCCCCCACATCTGCACCTTGAAGGGGCAGGGGGGCTGTCCTGCCTGCCCTGCTGAGAAGAACAGGAGTAATACTCTTGGGACCAGGTGCTTGGAGGCTGGAGGCCGGGCCAGGCAGAGTGGAGGCTGGGGCAGTGGAGGCTGCGGGGAGGGATACTGAGGGGAACGGAGGCTGGGGCAGTGGAGTGAGCCGGTGGAAGAGGGGTGGTTGGCCCTCAGGGTTCCTGGGATCCTCAGTCCTCTCCCACCTACATCCTTGCCCCATCAGCCTGGCTTCCCTCTCTGTACCCTGAGGTCTCTCCCTGGCAGGGGAACCCCCTTCTGCCCAGACCTTGGGTCTCCTCCCTTCTCCCCACTCCCCCCAGCCACACCCTGCCGCACGCTGGCTTGTCTAGGGGATTCTCTTCCTTTGCCATCAGGAGGAGAGAAAATGCTGACAAAGTCGACTCCCATTGCCACGGCAACCGCAGCCTCACGACTGGGTGCAGCGGGTTCTCTCTGGCTGTGGGAACAGGAGGGTGATGGGGTGGTGGAGTCAAGGCCCAGACACCCCTCTCCCTGCTGCTCCCTGGGCTCCCTGCTCAGCTGGCGGCCCCCTTCACTGCCCTCCAGTCTCCTCAGCCCCACCCCAGGAAATGGGAGGTCACAGGGGGACCTCACTGGTCTGCAGGAGTGAGTGAGTGAGTGTGTGTGTGTGTGTGTG